AAACCAGGAACGTTTCAACGTCTTTCTTGACGTTTTCGTCGGGCTCCGAATAATTTAAAATACATTCCTGCACTCTGGGCAAAAGCCCGTAAGCACCGAAGTCACTAAGTTTCGGGCGAACGTGTTTCAAATACCGTTCGCGAATGCTTTGCCACGACCGATGCGGTAAGACGCCGTTCAAGATGGCGTCTTTCCACACAGAGTTGCCAAACTTGTGGCGATAACTACAGAAACTCAGGAAATAACACAGGATCTCGAGATCTTCGTCAAACGTGAAGGCACGACGCATGTCTGAAGAATACACGAAATGGAAAAAAAAAACTCGATGAATTTCAAAAATAGGACAAAATGACCATCTGCACAAGGGGGTTTTGTTGCAGAAGATCAAACTGGCAACCGAACACCACCATCCGAGATGAATGAAAATATTCTCGTAAAAACATGTTTCTGACGTTTCCCACTTTTTTTACACGCACTCTAATTCGTTGTCTTCATGGGTTTGAGATTTAGCCAAACAACAACATATAACTTGACCTGAACCGTACCAAATTACTTGAATCTTCTCGGCGTCTGCACGAGGGGGTTTTTGGAAAATATGAAAATGTTTAGCGAACAAAATTATCCGAAAGGAATGAAAATATTTTGGTAAAAATGTCTTCATTGACGGGTTGAACTTTCTCACACGCACTCTACTTAGTCCTCTCTAAATAGGTTTGAGATTTAGCCACGCAATTAAAAAGAAGTAACTTGAACTAAACTGAATTAACTTACCAGAATTTTCTAGGCGTCTGTATGAAACATTTCTTCGCAAAAGATAAAACTGTCAACCGAACACCACCATCCGAGATGAATGAAAATATGTTCGTAAAAATGTCTTCTTTACACTCACTCTAATTTTTTCTCCCCAATTTTGAGATTTAGGCGAACGATAAAAAAAACTACATTTTTGAAAGGCGAATCTATATATAAAAAAAGTAGACCTCATAGAAAAATAATTACATCCATCTCGAAAGGCAGCTCACTGTCAAACTTCGAAAATGCTTTGATATTCATATCTGTTAGAAAACGTACAGTCAATGTTTGCAGCAAGTGAAGTTTTAAACCTTTTTCCACGTCACAAATTGGTAAATAAATGCAACTGCTTTCCTAGAAAAAAAAACATTAACAGAAGGAAGGTGTCTGTTTTAGTCATCCAAAACGACAGTAGGAACTTTTTTCTTGGGCACGTCGCAGGAATCTTTCAACTTCCGTTTCCTCTCGGAACTTCCTGCAACAGAATCTCCACCAGACACCAGCATCGTCACCTTCCCAGTGCCTTTCTTGATGAGTAATCTCCTTGATCCATCTGAAGAATGAAATTTATATTTCAAAGAGCGCATATTTCCAACTAAAAACACAATCAAAGCCACTAAATAGGACCAGCTGCAAATTAGGATGAAAATTAAAGAAACAGAAACCAAAACCATTGAAGTACATCACTTTCGGTTGCTTATTAGGACCAAAATCCCTCCTAAAATAGGACCCTCAGTGATGAAAATACTTTCGGAAACTTGTTGATTGACAAGAATAAGGAACAAATTTGTTTTATATTATCAGTAGTTCTTCCCTATCTGATTTTGGTGATATTCTATGATCAATTTTTTTTATTGCTAAAAGCGTATAACTTAGTAATCTTTATTAAAATATCTCAGAAAAGTTTGATTTCTTCAAGCATAATTTCTGTGCCAGAAAATTATCTCAGAATTCTTTGCTGAACACATTCGAGGGGAAAATGGATTTAAAAAATTTAAATGTTACTGTATATAATTGCATGCCCAGAATCTAATAAGAATGAAATTTATCGGAAATAGTTGATAAATTACGTATTATACAGGACTGTACAGTATAATCTATTCTACAAATACTTATGCGAGCATTTATGAATTTTATATTACCATCCCTAGTTTCAAAGTTTGCTCAAAATAGAGACTTTATACCTGCAACGTCTGACGTCTCTTCAGTTTTCAAGTTTTAATTTGCTTTGAATTCTGTTAGGATTTTCTGGAAAGCATGCTACATCTGGAAAGTACATCTGGAAAACATGCACGGACACACTACATATGTAAGATGACAATACAGTATTACACAAGTAACACAACTCGTTTTTTTTTCATCTATTACTACTGGTGAACGGCTATTAAAATCTAATATCCTTCATTTTAAATAAAATCCATTTGAACGTTTCTGACCAGAAAAGGGTCACAGTATATACGCAGATTCGACAATATGACCTCGTGTTTTACCTGGTAACACGTAGACCACAACGTTGTACGGGGTGTAATGAAAATCCATCTTCAGGTAGCCTTCCAAAAGCAGACTCGTGATCACTCGCTCACAATATTCGGGACTCAACGATTTCGCTTTTCCTAACGCTTCCACGAGTTTCAGACCTGCATGTTCATCCAAAAAAAAGTGAGAATCCGAAATTATACATGACCGCATTGAGACGATTCGTTCATCTATTAGTTAATTACCCGTAAGTTTTTGGTCCTTGGCCGCAGTCTCGTCAAAGATTTGGTACAATTTCAAAAGCAAG